ATTATCCGTTATGACAATAAGTTGACAACCAGAACCGATAACGGTATTGCGATATTTAATTCATTATTGTTTTATAGCGCTAATTTAATCGCCTATAAACAATTAATGTAATCAATAGTTTGTAATATATATATATATATATATATATTCCCCTTTGTAACAACGTTCAGATGCTACTTGTGTTGTTCGTAACTTCAATTTAACTTTCAAGCAGTTTCAACAGTCATCGTTATGTATATCAACATTTTTTGAGTGCAGGTGTTGCTCCTTTGTTGGAAAGCGAGGAAATGGACCCCAAGCTATTTCTATTGGAAAAAACTGTGACAAGTTCGGAATCATCGTGCATGAGCTGGGGCACGTAGTTGGGTTTTGGCACGAGCACACGAGACCAGATAGAGATAAGCACGTCGTAATCATCACAAAACACATTATGAATGGTGAGTTATTACAGTAATTATTATATTTTTGTTCCCAAGCTCAGTATTTCTGGTTATGAGAAGACGTTACCAGAGCTCACGAGGTACATTTTAAAGCCTTGTTTAAAATTGTTTGTAAATTTGCTCAAATGTTAATATTTTTTTTCCATCCTAAATTTGTGCCTTGTACGAGTCCACATTGATGATAAATCTGGAATACGTAGTATCCGTAATTTGAATCTACTAAAAATATGCAAGAACTGTGGCTGAGGATTAGGGTTTTCATTCTGTGAAGATGAAATGTCAGTAGGTATTTTTTACTGAGTATATATTCAGCACTGTTTGCTCTTCCTTTGGTCAGTAATTTCCAAGTTCTGGCCAAACGTTTTTCTGTGCTGTTTCCTGTTTTATAGCGTATTAAACCAACGTGTAAACTATGGAAACATCAGAAAACGATCCTATTCCTCCTACCACTTCCAATAGCAAAATACAATAAATGCAGTCGATGTTATCATGATGGGATATCCATTGATATAAAGTTATAAAGGAAACAAAGGTAAAGAGTTAAAAATACAATGAAAAGAATAGTTTCTTTTTGCCTTTTCTTCGAAAGCAATAACTAATGGTGGCGATTCAGATGTTAATGAAACTCATCCATTGTGTCCTTTGCTAAAATATTTGGATTGTTTCCGTTCGGTGCCCACCAACAGTAATAAGCGTTATTGCGGAACACATCGCCAAATGGTTGACTGTTATTTTTGTGAATTTATATGGAGAAATAGAAACAAAGATGAAGATTTATTCAACAAAATATTGTTTAATATCACAGAATTCGCTAATAAATATCATATAATGGTGTTTTATTTTACTGCAATACTGGTGTTATTTTCAAAACGATCTGTCGGTGAGCACCAAACGGAAAAGATCTAAATATTTTGTGTACTTTATTACTGCTCTTAATCTTGTACTTCTAGTTACAGTTTGTGGTGAAACATACAAGTTTGTCTAAGTTTACACCGAAAATAGCAATCGATCCTGATCAACATTGACCATCAGTTTAGAAGTTGAACCAAAATAAGTTTCGGTGATGATTTTGGACTATTTAAGCTTAGGTTCAAACGACACAACAATCGAAAGTGAAAAATTAATACTACCAAATCTGATGATGTCAGAATTTATCATATTTTAGAGAACTTTGCTTTGTAAAGTCCTGAAGTTAAGGTTAAAGTGAAACAATGATGAACAACAGGACGACGGCAGCACCAATGAACATTTGACACGTATATGTTCAGTGACAAACATTTAATTCTTGAACGTTTCGGAATGTACATATTCCATCTTCAGCAAGCTATATTGAACATGATAAATTATTAGGTACAGACATTTTAGAAAGTTTAAACATTCTATAAAAAGTAATTAAAATACAGAATAAAAGTATGAAATAAATTAAGACAATCAAACAAACAGAGAATAGAATAATGCATCGATATTATACAATTATTTAGAACAGACTTAACTCCAGTGAAGTTGTGTTATTGTTTAAATTTGGGAGTTCATTTATAATGGATAAACTTTCTTTAATTAAAAGTTCAGTATTTGATCCCGATGAGATGACTTTTGAAATTCGTAATCAAGACGGCGGTGGTTAGTGTTTTCTCTGTGTGCGAATTGTAGAGTCTGGTGGATTTGATAATTTTTTTTGCCAGTTCTGCTTGATACTTCCATATGTTCGCAAGCTCTCAGAGAAATAACTTTTTCTTTCTTTAACATGCATGTGTTACTTCGTCCACAGTAATAGTTAACCTACGCTTATTTCGTCTACATTTTATTAGAACTGTATAACGTGAACTTCCCTCTAAATTTAGGGTGTTGCTTAGGTGTATTTAACATTCAGGCAGCTGCTTGGGCGTTAACCACATGCATCTGAGGGGGGGAAACCAACATGAGTTTGGTGTTTAGCCTAAAGGTATTCAAATAGACCTTATACACGCGTGGTAGAAAGTCATTCTTTGGTGTGTGAATGATGATGTATGGAAAACAGGTGTGACTTCATAACTAGATAAAACTTTTTTCTTGTTGCTTACAGATAAGTGAGACTTATTACAAGTATATGATACAATCAATAAAACGTAAATGATAACAACAGACTGTAGCGAATCCTCAAAAACTGATTTAAATCCGTAAATTATTTAGGCTTAAATTACAGTCACGATTTTGTTAAATAAGGCTCCACAGGTTGTCAGAAGAAACAAAAAGTTCACTAACTATACCAACTTGATCGTTTGTTTAAATGTCGATCATTTAATTCTTACGAGATGATAATCTAAGTAACGGAAAAAGGCTTAAGGCGATTAAAATAATGCAGTAATGCTAGTTTCCGAGCAGAAAGTTCAGTTGTATAACTTGTACTTGATATGATTCGATAATTCAGTTTCTACCCAAGGAGGGAGTAGTATTGAAGTTTGACTGCGTGGCATTATTTGACCCGGTTATCTCCTCCCATTTTTAATTTTTGGGCTACATAACTGTTGCTAAAATGATGGCTTTATGTGCCTGCTTTCTTCCTTCTTGTTTCAAGTGAGGTGTAGTCGCTTCCACTTTTATTACAAGTGGTCATGATGAACGACAATCATCTATAGTGATAGCATCTCGAGGTCTTAGCAACATGTCGCGCTCTAAACACTGTCATAACACTTTTTAAAATCTAGATAGGGTAATAGATACGTAATGTAACATAACGTAAAAATGGTATCGTTATTTTACAACTTGTATAATTTTTCAAAATGTGCTTCCATTTTCAAGGAAACAATTATTGTATAAGAGCATTTTAACTACTTAGAAATTCTGATGGAGCTAATTTAAGCCAATATCGGTGCATGGTCGAAATGTAAAACTAGATAGCTTAAACATTCTTTCACTACGAAAATGTCTCCCGGTGGGACAGCGGTAAGTCTGCGGATTTACATCGTTAAAATCACGGGTTCGATGCCACCCGGTGAACACAGCAGATAGCCCCATGTTGCTTTGCTATAACCGAACACACAAACACACATTACGAAAACGTAAAAGTGGGTGTACAAAAAAACACACCAGACATACACCTTCGTAAAGACGTATATCTCTAGTAGGTTGCATTTCCTCTCGGAGATAGGGCGTGTTTTGTTACCTAATGTAGGTAGACGAACCTTGTAGTACTGATACGACCAGCTCGTAATATGTTTGTATTCTATCATAAACCGAACCTTTTTTTATATATTCGTGATGTAATTGACTGTCATTCTTTAGAAAAGTTTAACGAATCCAAACAAATCGACGTTAAGCAAAATTTCAAAAAAGTTTAGAATATGATTTAGAAGATGGAGCTGAAAAACAAGAAAAGGTCAGTTAGGACTGAACACGTTCTTAGAACAACAATTTACTGGGTAGCGTTGTACCATCAGTCTATTTTTGTTGGGCATCAGACGAAACAAACAAACTGACGTAAAGTAATTTCACCTCTAAACTATGTTGATATGATTATGTCTATTCTTGTTGTAAACCTCTTTCGAATGTTTCTCAATAATTAAACCAAGTACAGAGAGTCTGTGGCTGAAAAACTTCGGACTGATGGAAGTAGTGTGTTGAATGGGTGGGAGTGAACAAAACAAAGATCAAGTCGAAGTAAACGTAGGATGAAAATGCTTTGTTGCAGAGTATAGTGTAGATAAACTTAGACAGTATTTAAGTGAAACCGGATCTTCCGTTTCCATTAGCTAAGACAATCTTGAAACTTTTGACGTTAGAATTATTCTCAGTTAATTGGACGTAAAATTACTGTAGAATCCCCTTGAACGCGCAGGACTATTAATCCCTCTGTAGCAACTTTTTTATCGGGCGATCCCAGACTATATTTAGCAAAATCTATTTACATTTATAAACTTAACAATTAATATTGATTTATGAAAATGTATGAAAGAGTCGCACTTCGTTCGGACCTATGTAAGAGTTCTTACACTTACTTACCTCCGGGCGTAAAAATGGACATACAACTAGACACTACGTCATGTTTGGCGTAATAGGAAGTCCAATAGAAAATACCGACCGTCTTCAAAATAAAAACTCAGACTGAGATTTTTCTAGATGCTGCAATACTCAACATATGTCTATTTACCTACTAAACCATCAGTGACCCGTTGAGTCACCCACTATTCAGAGGTTATGAAGAATTCAAGCTAATTTCAATATTGCACCGAAATAAAGGTTTATTTTGAGATAATTAAATATTTCAATCCATTCGTGTTATTCTTAATTCAAGAAAAGATATTTGATTGTTGATCGGGAGTAAAAGGAAAGACCATTTCATTTTTCAAAAAAGTGAAGTCAGAGTTTTCAGGTATTTTGATGAATTAGTTCATTATGTTGTGGTCTTTTCCTCTTAAACTTTTTACAAATAAGAAACAGTAACACTTTATTTTTTCTTCGAATTACCTACCATAATCAAGGCACGTTATTGAGAAATTCTTCAAGATCTTGTTTTTGTCATCTTATGCCTCTTAATGAAGATGGGAACATTGACAGGGAAATAGATTTGAACGCAGAAGTTTCGTAAAGAGTGCGAACGGTAGTGTGATGTAAAATTACTCATGCTAGAAATTTTCATACAAGTGACCCGAAAAACGCCGCTAACTTGGTAACCCGTGGCCGGATTGTAACGAAATTTGTTTTATTCTGTTTCTATTCTCACTTCATTAAAAATATGATGCTTTTTGTGCGCCATTTTTGCTGTATTTAATCACAGACAAGCAAACAAACAATCTGAGTTTTAGTAGTATATAGATAGATAGATATTACTTGGTCTGCGGTTCAGCAGTAAGTTTACATGCTTACAATACTAAAATCCTGGGTTCGATTCCCCCAGTGGACAGGGTGCAAATAGTCCATTGTGTAGGTTTGCACCAAGAAAATATTGCCATATTACTTTTATTAGCTAATATCTCAAATGAGTTTTACTTGTTTACTACTAAACTTTAGGTATAATTAATACTATGTGATTAGACCACGTGATTAGGTACCGGACCGTGGATCCGAAGTTCCGTGATTCGCGTCCCTATACCGACCAAATTAAAATTGTGGTCAGCACTTTGGAGCTGTGTGTGTGTGTGTGTGTGTGTGTGTGTGTAAGAGTTTATGACAAGCCTCACTATTCAGTCGGACACTTGTAGCTCAAGAATTCTAAGTTGCAAGACTTCTTTTATTGTGTGATTATTTTCTAAGTTTTATGTGTAAAGATTATGACACCTCTGCGATAATGAATCCGCGAGTAAGTATTAGTATTTATAGTAGTTAACAAAATCGGAAATAAGAACTAACGCAAAAACCGTTGTTCTACCCACTAAAAATATCGCTGGTCAATCATGTTGAATAGCAAGAACTTGCAGACTTTCTTCACAGTCCATTGTTTGTCATTATATTGGAGGGAGGGGAAGGTTCTCTAGCAAAATGTGAAGAGTAAAAAAAAAATACTTACTAATGTAACTTGACTTTTGAATATGTAAGAAAAAACTTTTTAAAAAATTCTATTTCATGGTTTTATGCATAAATATTTAATTTTTTCCTCAAATATTCATTGTTACTTGATAATGGGTAAATAGTTTTTATTGATTTTATTGAGTGTATACTAAGATAAAAACAAATATTGCTTGTTTGGACATATTTTCTGTTCATTCATGTTTATTAATTGGTCACATGAACAAAGGTTGTGCTATAAATATGGATTGTTTCATTCGAGGTTTATGACATAATCTTTGCGAGAACGACTAGAAATACTCAATGAATTGACTAATCGGTTTCTTTATTGAGAATAAAACGTAGAGACTAAGATGCTGTATATACATTGACTGAAAAACATTGACTGATCTTACTTTAAGGTCGACAGATTAGGTCTCACTTTTAAGATTTAAAAACTGGCTTATAATAATAATAATAATAATAATACAGAAACAGTCATACTGTAACTGTGTTCCAAAAAAAACAAAAAACAGACTGTTTTTGTTTTTGTCTGAATTATTTTATCCATTTGATTGTTGTGTAACATTCTTCCTCCGTTTATTATATATATTTTTTCGTATAGGGCAACAGTACAATTTTGAGAAGCTCTCGGGTGCGGAGGTGAACTCTATGGGACTGCCTTACGACTACAACAGTATCATGCATTATGCCAGAAACACGTTCTCGATTAATACAAATCTCGATACCATTCTTCCTCGGGAGAATCCTTTCAGTAACGAAAGACCTGAAATCGGTCAAAGGCTCCGCTTAAGCAAAGGCGATATCGCTCAGACTAATGTAATGTACAAGTGTCCAAGTAAGTATGATGCTTGAAATGTCTTTTATAACTATTCCAAACCGTGACCGTAAGTGTTGACTAATGTGCATTCTGGAAAGAGCTTACTTCCTCCATTTTGTCAGAAGCGAATCCAAATCATGTTGTCTTTTCCAAATAGCAACCATGAATAAGTTTTTAAAAAAATTAACATACCCGTCTGTCTGTCTGCCTGCATCTCTACGTGTCTATCTCGTTTTTCAGAATGGGAAAAACTCTGTAACAACCCAATGGTACTATTACCGATCCAAAATACACTTGTCTTTTCCAAATAGCAAACATGAATAAGTATTCCAAAAAACCTCAACACATCTGCCTGCCTGCCTGTATCTCTACATGTCTATTATCTCGTTTTTCAGGATGTGGAAAAACCTTACAACAACCCAATGGTACTATTACCTCACCACAGTATCCAAAGTCACAAACGCCGCTAGAGGGCGAGCATTGCGAATGGCGTATTACAGCCACTCTTGGAGAAAAAATAGTTTTAAAGATCTTAGACGTGGACATCTTTGAGAGCTATGAATGTGGAACAGATTACTTAGAAATACGAGATGGATATTGGTACAAATCGCCACTGCTAGGTAAGTCCAGATGGATACTGGTACAAATCGCCACTGCTAGGTAGGTCCAGATATATCTTGGTACAAATCGCCACTGCTAGGTAGGTCCAGATATATCTTGGTACAAATCGCCACTGCTAGGTAAGTCCAGATGGATACTGGTACAAATCGCCACTGCTAGGTAGGTCCAGATGGATACTGGTACAAATCGCCACTGCTAGGTAGGTCCAGATATATATCTTGGCTAAAGTTGCATGTTTTCTTTCATTAGGTAGTAATTTTATATAATACTAAACACTTTCTACTGTTTCAATGAACCAACAGCTTTATCTGCTGTTTAGCATACACTTGTGACACCGTGCCATTAGGTTTATTTTTTGACCGTTTTACCGTGTGAGTTTGTGTGGATTTCGCTCTATGTACCAATTTTATATTGTCTATTATGCCATAAGTCTTAAATGTTATATCTCAGTTGTACAATAAACACACATTTTGTTTTGGCAGATACAATTTCAAATGAAATAATTATGTTGTATGGAATCATTAACAATCCATTTTGATACTATAGTTTTCCGTTGCTTAATTAAATATTGAACTTTGTTTATAGATAACACGACCAATTCAAGATTCTAGCTCGATATCCACGTTTTGAACCAGTATGATCCTATTCATAACATTGTTTTAAACTTTTAATAGGCCACAAGCATGACCAATTTCATTTAGAAAACGTAGTATGAAAAAAGCTTATTATGTTCTGATATATTCCACTTAAACCTCAAGAAGTCTTGCTCCAAACGTCTAAATGTACACTGTCATCAGATTATATATTATGTTTATATTGCCGACCCAAGTTGGCAATGGTTGTATCGGTATCAATATAAATTTGAAACCAAAAAAGTAATACGTTTGTGTGAAGTATTATTGACTTGTTTTTTAAGTATCTTTCGAGAAATAAATCATAAATCTTGTGTTAGTTATTTTAACTTAGGCACGAAAATCGAGATTTAAACTTAGTTCAGTATTCTAGTAATGTGAAGTTTAATGACTGTTTCTATGGAAATTCATCCTGTCTGTGTGCATTGTGAGTAACAAGACGAGCAATAAAAGTTATACGAGTGAATCATAGACGTACCGCGTTTATTTATATTAAATCTTAGTCTTTTAATCAGTGGGATTGTGATGTGAGATTCTGCCTAATCTACTTCCACTTGTACACCACCAGGATGTTGCTAATAAAAAGGTTACTGACCATATTCTGCTGAATAACTAAACGAAATAAAAGATGCTCTAGAAAAATATTTGGCCAAAAGTATATTGCTACATCATTTTCTCAACTTAAACAACTTTCAAACGTATTACCTCTTGTTTCGTAACTTACTGTTCAGTAATGAACCTTGAGTTATCCATAGGAATTTCGGTTACTTTCAGTATGAGGCAGTTGAATATTATGTAGAATTAACTTGTACAATAATAATTTTCACTTTTCAAAAACCTTTGGTTCCGGTTGCATGACTGAGTACTTTTACTGAGAGAATAGCTCGATTTTAATACGAAAAAATATGCGATAAATTAAACCTCTCAGCACTGAGAATTAGTTTAGAATAGTTTCATTAACATTAGATAATTTATTTTTCCTCTTAATCTTTAGGTAGGTTGTGTGGCAGTGGGAAAGCTCCTATCAAGTTAATGACGTCAGGACACCGAATGCTAGTTACCTACAGAACATCAACCAATCAGAATGGACACAAAGGCTTTAAATCACTGTACGAAGGCAAGTGCAATATTTCATTTGCGTGGTATTAGTTGCTGGTTAAATACCTTATCACTATAAACGACATAGCTAATGTTGCAAGATAAAGTTTTATGAATGTAGCTAAATTACTGTAATTAGTCGGCATAGTTCCTTTAAGGGAACTGAACACGTTGACACAAGGAAGATAAGTAATGACAAAAATAGCTATGATAACATCCGTGTCTCCTGGAAAACTTCAGGTAATTTAAAGCAAAGTTGAAAATATCTCTAATTATAATATTACTTAGATTGAGAAAATAATTCATTCTATCAACATGCCTGCACTCTGGAATGCACACCAGTGATTACATTCAGCACCAAATTAATGAATAGTTCAGTTAATTAGCTGACTATTAGCTACAGTAACTGAAAATCATAATTGAACAGATAAGACTTGTATCATGACCATCACTGTTTCATGCAAACTTGATATACTTCAACAGCCAGTCCACAACACCTTCAACAAACTTGATATACCCCAACAGCCAGTCCACAACACCTTCAACAAACTTGATATACCACAACACCTCCAACAAACTTGCTATACCACAACACCTCCAACAAACTTGATACACCCCCAACAGCCAGTCCACAACACCTCCAATCATAGGATTGGAGGGAAGGTGTGTGTGTGTTGGAATACTGTATCAGCCTAACTTACATTTACATGACACTTAACTCGTGGTAGGACTTGGAGACGACAGAAAGGGAAGCTCAAACTTGTTTGTGTAAGTTTCATTAGCATCTTTCCTTCAAGCCCAGTGACTGGAACCTGGTAGTTTGTTTTTTGGTATCATGGTCTAGCATCAAACATATAATCCATGGTACTGCATTTTTACAGTGTTGCACAAAACGATTGTTTGTTGGTGAAAAGCCTTTATATAGCTTTTATTTGCTAAACAGTGGCTCTTGATAGTATTAACTTCATTTTATTCTGTCCCATCATACATCAAAACAACAAATCTTTAAAAAAATAAAACTACCACGTGTTATTCTGTTACTTCTTCAGAATATTGAAATATTTGAAATACTGGACAAACTTATCTTCCTGTAGTACATATGATAATGCTGACACAATGCCATAGCTATTTGATGTATGCAGTCTTACCAGCTAAAGTGATAAATTGTACATTCTTGTTTCTTTGCAGTAGCATGGTGACGGGATTGAGTCATCAGTATGCTCATAATAGTAGTAAATTACTTCTACTTTTGTCATAACCACTTCCATTTCGTTTAGACATTGTCTGGGGTTTTTGTGTCAGACATCTTAAGAGCTCAGCCTTGTTAGCATGTGGTATCAAGAAACTTGTCAATTGCAACCCTTCCGACCACTTGGAAAACATGCTTTTTTTTGTCTTCTCTTCTTAGAAAGTGGTGCATTCAGGCTCATACTTATTCCACACAATACTCTCAGCTTCATCATGGTTTTCTTCAACAATGCACTACATTCCTATACAACTTTATTCATAAATACTTTCTACTAGTTGTGGCACAATGTTTTAATTTTTAGCTAGGAGTTCAAATACTAATTGATTAGCAAAGCTCTTGGTATGAAGTTCTTGTTATGTATCATTGTCATCTGCAAAAGGATTACCAATCTTATAAATGATTGCAACAAACTTCCAGTCTTTTGTTTTTCACAAATCTTGTTTGTGTTCTCGCATGTTGTTCATGTTTCAACTCTTTGTTCTCAATGCATTTGTCTTGTGAATCACACTGCAATGTCAGATAGAGCAACACCATAAGTTACGTGCATTGGATTCACTCTTGCATAGTTTAATGGCCAAAAATCATTTAACTAATTCTGTGAATGAAATGAATCTTTGCACATTTTGGAAATTGCTTCTCTTGTAGGTTGAACAAAAACCAAAAGTTTTAGTTGCAATTTCAACACCATCTACCAGTATTTAAATTGAAACGAGGTCTTTCTGCCTTACATCTACTAATCACTTGCAAAATTGATAGGTGGGATTCAACAGAGTAAACATTGTGTATTTCTTGCATGATTGATGCTCCTCCAATTTATTAAGGAGTGCATCATTAACAAGGAGTTTGTCATTCTTCCAGAAGGTGTTTAGGTACCTGCAAATGCTCAGATGCACCTGTTTCTATCTGGCCATTCATTGAGCATTTTCAACAATTTCATTTCAATATGAAAGATGTCAAAAAATGACATAAATTTACTTTTATTGAATATTTCTTAATACTTCTACTGAATTATTTTTTTTCAATGGCAAACTATCTGACCAAGGACAATCAAGGAAGTCAGTTTTGGATATATACATGCCTTATTAGTTATTTCATCAATTATGTTATTTAGTAGACCTTCATTACTAAATGAGCTTGGTAGAAAAATAAAGGAAGTGAATCAGTTATTTTCTTCTGTCTTTGCATTCTAGCATGGTATACAATGTAATACAGATTTATATAATTTATCTATAATACTGTAATTCGTTCTTACAAAGACACACTTTTCTAACTAATGAATCTTTTGTCTAATTGCAGTTAGAGGCAAGTGGCCGTGAACCACAAGTCCATCACTCTGTAATGCTACTTGGTGTGTTGTTCTTACTGTAATATACGTTTTTTGGCAGAGGGACCATTGCTTTTTCTCTTGAACTATGTTGTTCTGCTGTATGGATTGAACATTTTCAGTATTTTAGTCCTAATGATACAGTAATACTATTGAACACATCTAAGTCTATAGTTGTCTTCTGAACATTATCAGTATTTTCACGCTAGAATTTTGTGAATTTGGACTTATTTGAAGGTGAAGGCAACAACTTGATAAAGTAATTACAGCATTAATTTGTCAGCAATATTGAAATCTAAAGCATTTGGTCATTTTGTAACTGAAAGTTTAAGATAGATTATCTTGTCAATCTCTCCTGGTTTCTTGCTTGTTACTATATACGTATTGTCAAATTAGAAGAAGAACGTTCTATATGCAGCTGTATCTTTATCAGGTAACATTTCTTTCTGATATGCTATTATACATAAGAAGCTGTTAAACAGTTGCAGTTGATACAAGTTGTAATGTGGAGGCTATTCATTAATACCGGCACAATCACAGGTTATTTGGACCAAAACTGTAACTGTGCTCCATTGCATGCCCCAATCAAAGTTTGCATTAAATCACCATGAAAAACATGCCCAGTAAAGTGAAACAATCTAAAGTATAGCTTTAATCTTGCTATTGGTTGATCCTTTGTCTTTTATAAAAGCTAGCAGTATATATCGTCTATATTTGTCCTTGTCATATTTCAGAAACTATTGTATTTCCTGTGCTAAGTTTGCCAAATGGTGAGTGAGTAATGATTAATATGACTGGCAATTTACATATCTGGCATCAAATGACAAAGTGCTTATTTCATTTAATTCTCTTCCATTAAATGACAAGCCACAAATAACTTGTTTTGCACGTATTATTATTATTATTATTAACCTAAATCTTCTGAACTTTATTGAACCTTTTCAGCTTGCATGCTTGACTCATTTTCTTCTGTCTTTTTTATTATTCGTTGTTAATGTAATATTGATACAGTTTTGATTACTTTAAGCATTGCAAGCACATTGTTTTCCTTCATGCAGTATCACTTAGCCCATGAAACACAGCCAACTGTGGATTTTTCACATAAAAAATCAATCAAATGATTCATATTTAGTTAATATGGCATACCCAGAATTTTCAGGTACAACAGATCTTGACGTTAACTTTCTGTGCCAAGGATATTACATTGAGGTTTATTATCAGATCTTTCTCATATAAAGATTGATGGAAAAGACCGACTATCCAGTAGGCTTCCATTGTTCTCTAATTAGCAAATTATTTTATCTATAAACCGTTTTAACCCCAATATCGTCGTATCTCAAAGTTATAATGTTTTGTGTCATCACAGCTGACTTTTAAAGTTTTTACTTACAATATCTGTGACAAATTACACTTAGTTTCGAAAATGCAGTTTTATTTTATTTTATTTTTTTTGCCATTATTGCCTTGTTACTGTCCGTGGTAGTTGGTTGACACAGCTAATGAAAGGTAAAGCGTTTGTGCTATAATGAACGCACTTAATATTTCGACATAGCTATAAATGTAACAAAAAGATCAAATAGCCTGATAGTAAATATGTAACGTATGTAACAAAAGTATTGTTTGTAAACAGCATAGCTGAATTATTTAAAATTTCTGTCTTTCCGACATAACGAATGCAACATCATCAACAAAAAACAAGACAATCTGGTAATCATTGTATTTACTCCTTCAGAAACAATACAGAAATAACATGATTGTATACTACCATCATGCAAAATAGAATATAAAGTAGTGGTAGTACTTGTATACTACCATCGTCTAGTGCAACTGTGCTAGACTGAGTTTGGAATGAATTTTGCTACGCCTACTTTGGAGATTGAAGGGTAGAAAAAGCATGTCAGACATTTATGGCTAACTTGTATTTGTCCAATGTTTCTCTCTCTCTGGCATGGCCTGGTGGTTAAGGCGTTCGTTTCGCAATTTGAGGGTTGCGGGTTCGAATCCCCGTCTCCGAACATGCTCGCCTTTTCAGTCGTGGGAGCATTATAACGACGGTCAATCCCACTATTGTTGGTAAAAGAGTAGCCCAAGAGTTGGTGGTGGGTAGGTTGACTTCCTGCCTTTCTTCTAGTCTTTTCACTACTAAATTATGGACGGCTAGCGCAGATAGCCCTCGTGTAGCTTTGAGCGAAATTCAAATCAAACCAAACCATTATTTATTCACTTATTACAATTATTAACGGCACTATAAGCTTGTCCATAGTTGTTGACTTAAGTAATGCAACGTCATTGTAATCAATGTTTTTGCAGCAATGAAAACTTAAACTTAGTATACGACGTAAGATCCGCAACTAACAACTTGTACATTGTAAAAGATGTAGCTGGTATTATAAATGTTTCCACGTTAACAAACTTAGCTAAAGCAATAAAACGATTGTGTGTGTCTATATAATATTAGAACTTCAATCCTATCACGACTTGGGAAATAAATATCTTTATTCGAGTATATGTAGATTTAAAAAAATCCCAATTCTAGTACAAATACCTGTACCTATCCAGATGATTTATATAAACAGGACGTGCCTAGCCTTTATTTGTGATAACCTTGTTGTTAAGCTTGTTACGTGAAACTCGGGCCAAGAACAATTGTATCTTCTCTCATGGCGTTTATTCTGGTTAAGATGGCTTTGAATGACTTCGCTAAAGTGCTCCTCACGTTGGAGGATCAATTGTTGGAGAGCTCCAGTTTTCTATCAATTGGTATTATCTAATGACAAATGAAACTTGACATTCTTAGTCAAAGTAATATTAATGTTTATTGAGTTCTCCTATTGCTTTGTATTACTCCTAATGCGGAGAAGCCAGGCATACACAAATGTAGGCAGATTTCTCACTGTTGTTTCTCACTCTTACTTTATGTGACAATGAAATAGTGCTTTTATTTCAAAGTGAAACTGTTGTGGTCTCGTCCCTGATGTATTTGATCGAATTTTATTCACTCGTTCTCTGCTAAGAAATTATCATAAATACTTGTTGCTGTAGTCTTATGAGCTAACCTGTTGATTCAGTTTTACCCGAAAATATCACAAACAAAACACTTGTCGACAGTAATCATTGTAACTAACCCAACGAAAAGTAAGTGTACAATGTGAAACATGGTTAACAGAACATATAACTTTAGTAACAAGAGTATGTAAAACAATTTCCCTGTAGTAACAAACAAATATCACAAACAAAACACTTGTCGACAGTAATCATTGTAACTAACCCAACGAAAAGTAAGTGTACAATGTGAAACATCGTTAACAGAACATATAACTTTAGTAACAAGAGTATGTAAAACAATTTTCCTGTAGTAACAAACTTAACCTCATGTAGCAGAAGGGGAAACTTACTGCTACTACCAAACGCACCTCGTACAGCACCTCGTACTTATCCCTAGTATCAAATGTATTAAAAACAAAGTAAACGTAATAGGAAACGTAGCTGACTTTCTGTTACAAACCAATGTAACAAAAGATGAGTATAAACTAATAAGTATACCCAAAGCAACGAAAAAATGCAATTGTACATCATTTAATGAACTATTTCGTATCTTACTTTAAACTATTGCATGATAAGTAACTAGTACAATGTTCAGAAACGAGTACAATGAAAGTGATTTTCGGCATCAC